AATAAAATGAAAATCAAATTTTCAGTGACAAGAAACCAAGAGTTGGGTTTTGGGCAGTCCTCATCCAAGACTACAATACAACTACCAGATGAACAGAAACAAAATGAAAATCAAATTTAATAAAATGAAAACCAATTTTTCAGTGACAAGAAACCAAGAGTTGGGTCTTGGGCAGTCGTCATCCAAGACTGCAATACAACTACCAGATAAACAAACCATAAGGAAAATCACGCCACAAAACTCTTTGCACTCTGTCAAACAGGTTCATCAAATAAATCTACCCGGCAGAGCATGGATTCATTTTAACTGGATTTACAAGCTCCTCTGAACCTGAGTTCACTTACTAGCTGTGCACTAACTGTAACCAGTGCAAAAGATTGCAAACCAGATTACACTACTAACATATTCTGAGCAAACAAAAACCAGAGAAGGAAACTGATGATCATCTGACAAGGTTCAAAGGATATATGAAAGAAAAGCTATATATTGATAACTTATCCAAGGCGGTCTCAGTTTGGCGAATTTCACTACCGTTGAATTTCAGTATAACAGCCTGTTCTCAGTTGGGCGAATTTTTCACTACCGTTGAATTTCAGTCTAAGGTTTTAACATAAAAAAGGCCTGGGATGCAAGGAAAGAGCCCGTTACTGTAGCAGTGGGGGGTTGTTGACACCACCACCCAGCCCTGCTTTCTGCCCCAATTCTGAGAGTTGCTCGATAAACTCCACCCCATTGACAATCTCGGTTGCACCGTATATGACATGCTTTGAAGGCTGCGAGCATTCTGCCAGCTCCATCAAGCTCCTGTACTCAATGCAATTCCCACCACCAATCATGAAGACAATTGCTTCTCTGAATGGCCCTTTGAACTGCCCACCACTTCCCGATCTAGGGGACCGTGGATCAAACAGCAGATAGCTGTCCACCTCCGGATTCGGCTTCCCTTCCATGAGAGCTTCAACCGTCCTTGTCAATGCAAGCTGCCTCCCAGTGGACAGAAGATTCTTTACCCCTGCCGTCACCGCGCTAATGGACTGCCCATACAGCTTCTCTGCCCAATCAACAATGTTGCTCCTGGTTGCTGTGTTTGAGGAGGCACTAAACTGCGTGTTCAGTGACTTTACCCTCTTGACATACTGAAACGCGGACATGTCCACTTCTGCCTCACGCAACACCGCCTCGACCTGCTCCAGCTCGGACGCGACAGGCGACTCAAAAGAGAGGAGGTAGGTCACAGCCAGACGGAGCTTGTCCTCCTTGGTGCCCTTCCCTCGGAGGAGGCCCAGCAGCGCGCTCCTGTCCACGGTGCCCTTGGTGAGCATGTCGTTCTCGCAGTCGCAGTATTCATCCAGCGATCTCTCCTTGATGTGCCCTAGCAACGCTGTTGCGATATTCGTGTGCTTGTCAATCATCTTCTTGCGTTCTGTGAGCTCTGGGAGCGAGTTCACGGCATTCATGAGGTGCTTGGTGTTGCCAATGAGATCCGTGCCATCGAACTCGATCCCATCCTTGCTGCCACCGGTGCGCTGGTTCACCTCGTCGACATCCTGCTTGTACTTGGCGAGCTGTGACTCGATCTCCTCGGCCACCCTGGGGAACGGTGACCAGCTGTTCGCCACCCAGAAGGCATCGGAGTCATCGAGATCGTAGGTCTTGGCCGGGCCAGATTTGTCTGCGGGCATCTTGAGCTTGTTGAGCTTGAGGCCGAGGACGTCATGGACCAAGGGGCGGTAGCTCCAATCGTGCTGTATCCCCACGGAGAGGTCGAAGTTCCTGTCGAGGAGGCAGAGCACGGGGCGCTGGAAGGAGGCGACGGAGGCTGAGGCCTCGGTGAAGAGGTTGGGCTTGGCGAGGAGGTGATCCCGGAGGCGGGCGTCGAGGGCGGCGGCGACCATCTCGGCGGGGCCTCCGCGGGGGCACCTGATGACGGGCACGGTGCCGAGCGTGGCCGCGACGCAGAAGAGACCGAGCGCGATGGCGTCGACGAGGGCCTCGATGTCGGCGTCGGCCGCTTTGGGGTCGTTGAGGGCGACGTAGGAGCGCGGGTGGGCGAGGGAGAAGAGGTTGTCCTCGAGAGAGACGAAGTCGAGGTACTGGTCGGCGAGGCGGGCGACGCGGTGCGCAGAGCCGGAGGCGGCGGTGGCGGCGGCTAGGCGGTCGAGGAGCGGGCGCGGGAGTGCGGAGGAGAAGTTGAGGTGGAAGGATGCGTAGAGCGAAGCGGTGGCGTCCGCGGCGACGCGGTCGGCGTTGGCTTGGGTGGGGCGGAGGAAGTAGACGGCGGGGGCGTCGGCGACCTGCTGGCGCGGCTTGTCGATGGGGAAGTAGAGGGTGACGCCGTGCTTGCGGAGGTCGGCGACGCGGAGCAGCGGCGAGAGCAGCGAGAGGCAGAAGGTGTCCAGCACCAGGATCTTGTACACCTCCTCTTCTTGCTCCGCGGCCGTGCCGGGCGGCGGCGGCTGGTTGAGGTGCAGCATCCGCACGATCAGATCTGGGAGCGATCCAATCAAAAACTTAGCAAGGAAGAGCGGGCAGGAGGGGATCAATCGATCCGGGAGCCAAGGCGAAGGTGGAGTCCCTCCGGGAGGCGAGGCTTACCGAGCTGCTTCTGGCGGAGGCTGAGCGCCGCCATGGAGGAGGGATGCGATCTGACGCGGGACGGGGGTACAGCGGAGCCCCTGATTTTCTGTTTCTCCAGCTGCTGTTCGGCTGTTCCTGCTTCTGCTTTTCACTGGAAAACTGATAGCGTGGCGTGGCGTGGCGTGGCGTGGCGCGAGCAAAATTGGGTCGGAATCTAAAGATATGATTCGGTGTGGCCAGCTCGTGCAGCCAGCGCGTTCATGTCGTCAGGTTTTTCGTGGCCATTCGATCGGCCGCGCGGACGGTCCGGATCGGACGAGCCGCGGGTATTTTTCAAAAAAACCCTTCTGCTTTTCGGAAATCAACCCGCGTGCTTCTTCGGTCAAGGGCTCAAAGGCAGTGCAAAATCATATATTATATTTGGTTTTGTCCAGTTTTCAGTAGAGGTTTTAAACAGAAAAAACATAGAATCTTCATCTTAAAGTATCACATCGTAATAAGTAATAACAAACAATGTATGGCGCTAAAGATAGCAGTTGCGAGTTGTGACTTAATTAACCTAAGCATTCAACTGTTCAAACATTATACCTATATGATTCGGTGTGGCCAGCTCGCGCAGCCAACGCGTCCACGTCGCCGGCTTTTCGTGGCCGTTCGATCGGCCGCGCGGACGGCCCAGATCAGACGAGCCACGGTCATTTTTCAAAAAAACCCTTTCTTTTTTTCGGAAATCAACCCGCATCCTTCTTCGGTCAAGGGCTCAAAGGCAGTGCAAAATCATATATTATATTTGGTTTTGTCCAGTTTTCAGGAGAGGTTTTAAACAGAAAAAAATATAGAATCTTCATCTTAAAGTATCACATCGTAATAAGTAATAACAAACAATGTATGGCGCTAAAGATAGCAGTTGCGAGTTGTGACTTAATTAACCTAAGCATTCAACTGTTCAAACATTATACCTAATAAAGGCTTGCAGGTATTATACATTTTATTTTGTTTTTATTTATGTGCTGCAGATGTAACTGTTTTTTATAGTGTTTCCATCACGTGCAAGGTTAACTCAGAATAAGTCTTATGCATTCTAGATTTAGGTCTTGTTTGGAATGTATAAATTATATAGAAATTTCACAGGAATTAGTTCAATTTGAACTTCAACATTTAGGTTTTACAAATTATGCAGGAGTTTCGTAGAGAAAACACAGAAAGAGAAGAAAAAAATAGTCTCTCGTATATTTGAGCTTCAGCATTTGGGTTTTAGGCTTCAGTGTGTTGGCTTTCTAGCTACTATTGACTTCTGTAGTAAACATTTAGCTTTCTGGCACATCAAAAGTTAGAAAATTTGCTCTCAACGTGCTTTTTAGATTTTACTCCCTCCATCTCAAATTATAAGTTATTCTAACTTTCTTAGAGAGTCAGAGCATCTTAAGTTTGTCGAAATTTATATAATAAAATAATAACATTTATGATACAAAATAAATATTATTAGATTCTTTATTTTAATTATATTTTTATAGTATGTACCTATTTGATGTCATAAGTCTTTGTAATTCTCTCTATAATTTTAATCAAAGTTGAGATGTTTTTACTCCCCAATAAAGTTGAAATGATTTGTAATTAGTTTATTTCATCAGAAACTAGCTTTCTAAAATCCAGCTCAGCAGCTGGGCTGTTCAGGTTCTAGCTTCTAGTTGGTAGAAAGCTAGATGAAAACTAAAACAAAGATTTCACTTGTTGAGGTTCTAACTGGCAAAAGCCAAATAAAAGATTAAACAAATAGACCCTTAAATGGTTTTTTTTGGTCATGTCGCTAGCTTTGTGCGGTTTTATATAGTCAATGAGTTAGACAGGTGGTCATCGTCTTTTCTAAATAATAAAGATGGTAACCAAAGCCGTCTCAACAAACTCAAGGGTCACAGGTAAGACGATAAGGCCCAACAATCTAATTTCTAGTACGAGGATTGAAGTATATGGTACTACAAATAAGAATTAACTTGTAACACATGTTTAGCTCGATAACCATAGTACAACAAAGAAATTAAAAGAACGGTGAAGCAACTATTCAGTCTGTTCGTTTGTTGGTTTCAGCCCAGCCCAAACCAGTTAGCCAATAGTGTTTTCCTCTAAAAAAACCAGCACTAACCAGGCCAAACCAGTATCAGCACCAACCAGCGAATAGGCCCATTGCAATTGCCTCAAATAAAATAATAATGCGTCTGACAATTGGGCTAGACGATTATTGTACTTGTGCTAAGTGTATATATCTTTAAATTTTCATTCCAATGGACCAAATACATATCTATAATAATATAAAGATCTCTAATCCCAGTGAATTAGCTACAGTACCTACCGGTTTCCCTCACCCAGATCACTATTTATCCACAGTTCTTTGTTCCTGGCTGTTCGATCCAGTCTGCACAGCCCGGATGGCCGCCACGCCCGCTTCCAGAAACCACCATGCCAAGCAACGCCAGCCTTATCCTCTCCCCACGGACCCGTCAAAGCACGTCCGTCGGCGTCTCACCGCATCCATCCGCACCGCCGCCTCGCAGCCTCCGCCTGTTCTTCCTCTCCCCCGTCTGCGACCTCCACCGCCGGCGCCCTCCGGCGGTCTCACCGCATCCGTGCGCACCGTCGCGGCGCTCTGCCCCGCCTTCGGCCAGCTGCGAAGACGCCCCGCTAGAGCGCCCCCCGCCTGCACCCTCCCCAGGACGCGCGACGCGGCCTGCAGGGCGCCGATGCGCCACGCCGCACCAACGCCGCTCGGGCGCGCCATAGCCCCGCAACAGCGCCCGCCCGCCTCCGGCCACCTCCCTCATGGCGCTTCATCCTCGCACACTCCTGCAGCAGCGACGGGAGCGCGTACGGCCGCGTCCGCCGCCCGCTGGCGCAGGGAGGCACCAAGCGCCCTCCGCGGTCGCCCAGTGAGATGGGGGCAGCAGGTATGCTCTCCTTTTTTTTCTTTTATTGTCTCAATTTTTCCATATGATATATTGATATGCACATGAAAATTCATTTGCAGGGCCCCTCCCTCTCGCTAATAGTGCCCACCTCCTCCTGCATCATGTGACAGGCACGCCATGTGAGCCAAACTTCTTCCTTGCTAAGCGCTCATGATAAATACTGATAGATGATTCAAGGTATTTGGCAATTTCCTCAATAGTGTGGTGGTGCTGAATTTTGTAGTTCTCTTAATGTTCAGGTCATCATCGTGTAGTTCAGTTTTGGATTTTCTATTAGAGACCAGTAAATATTTGTTGTCAAACACATGCTCAGTATGTTACTGAATGATTGCCTATTGTTTGTCAAATTTGCAGAATATTTAGGAGGTGTACAAGCTTAACATAATGATGCCATGTGCTAATTTCATGTCATGTTGTGCAGACCTAAATTTAGGTTTTCCTGATGATAGCATCAATTGCATCGGTAACGTTTCATTCCATTTCACCCTTCTAATTCTCCAACATGCAGTTTATGTTTCCCTGTTTAAAAGACTAATGTGCTCTTTTTTATCTATGCTGGCATGGTTATGCCAACCTTCAGCTTGCCAATGTCCAGCAGCTCGATCGGCCATTTCTGTGCTTCTTCTGTTTCAGGCCAGCGTGCTGTCTACTGTGCTATGGCACATGACATGGGTCAATGCATGAATGTTGTAGATTTTTTTTAGATCAGTGTGTAATGTCATGACTGACTTTGCTTAGTGATTACGTCTCTCGTGAAGAAGTGACTCAGAAATAGGTTACAATCCATTTTACTGGACTACGTGTTTACATTTCATATAAAAGCTTTTGCTTAGGTTTAATTCAGATTTCGATAGGCTGGGCAGTACATACTCAGAGCTTGGCTTACCATTTGGTATATTTTGTAAAGTATGCAGCGACCTGAAATGCATTAAAAAATTAGGTGCCTGTTGGGGAAGCCGCATAAAAGATTGGGTCAGGGTCAATTTCATTGAGCTAAGTGTTTGTGTTTGCAAGTGAGGCTTTTGCTTATGTTCCTTTCAGGTTCTTGCAGGCTGTGTATCATGGACAATAGGGTCCATTGCCCTTTTAGTAGGTTCCTGAGAGGTACAGACGGTGCTCTTCATGTGGACCTTCTGCAACTATTTTGTATCTTTGTTCTGTGCATATTCTGATTGGTTTTGGCGTTCATTATTTTTTCGCAAAGTCTAAATCCACTCATATATATTATATATTAATGCTATTGCTCTTGGTGGTACGTAACCATGATAGTATATGCCTTTACAACATTGTCTATAATTGGTTATCTGATCTTAATAATTGCTTTGTTTTTTTGTTTCTTCCATGGATTGTGGGCACTGATCTATGAATTTCAGCTGATATGCAATTTATGTACTCAGGTTGGTCAGCTCTTCTCGCTACCCTCAGCTTTCTTTACCATCAATCACCTCTAATTTGTTATTCTCTAATTCAGGTTTTACTGTTTAAGGTTTAGTCCATAGTGCGTACTATCCTCATGTAACAATTACACAGGCTTTCTGCTATGTTGACATTACCCTTTCTGCCATAATACATGCTACTAAACATCTCCCTGCTCATTATAAGGTAACAATTTACTACGAGTACAGTAGTACCCCTATATGTGATAACCTTACTTTTGCTGCAATATGTACACCCAAATACCATACTTTTCAGTCTGCCTACACAGCTCTTTTTTTTTTAACTAAACTACATACTTTTCAGTCTGCCTGCACAGTTCCAGGTCCTCAGTGTTGTCTTCTTCTTTGACCTACTCATCTTTTACGATCGTAATCAGTCCGATGGAACACATTCCCATAACAAGCCTCGCTTGCCAGGTGCATGGCTTTGCCAAACATTGAAAGTTCTTTCGCCCATGGCAAAATGAGTATCTATGTCCAACTGAAACAGTCCTGTACTATGCTAACATTATCTTATGAATGGCTCAAATGACAACTAATGTTACTGATCTTTTTGTTCCATGTCTAATAATATGATGTGCTATAATTCCTCCTTGCTGGCCCGTGCGAAGCACGGGGTACCTCCTAGTACTAAATACTATATATATACATACATACTCGAGGCCGCTTCTGTGGCATGGGCTCCCGGCCGTCGCACTTGCTGCCCACCATGCATGGCCGTGATGGTTACCCACGGGATTTGTAGGTGAAAAATCTGACATGTTGTGTTTAGGGTAAAATCAAACCCATATCACAATTAACATTACTGCAGGCAAAAAAAGAATGAAAGTCTTTAGCATTTGCTTCCTTTGTTTAGCCTTAGGGGGGAAAATTAGCGGGGTCATCTTCGTGTTCCAAGACAACCGTAGTGAAACAAAACTGGGCGAGAGCTTGAGCTCTACCCTGGCACGTTTTGCACGTGAGCACTGGATAGACGGACTCGATTTGATATGCCATGTGATCGTACGGCCGAGAATTGTGGGTGACGTGGCCTAGTCGACGGTCTCTTGATTTCGTCATATGGAGATAGAGATATTGCATTATTATCATTCGTATATATACACTCTCACATCGTTCTTGCTGTACAAATAATACCCTGAGTGAGCGAGTCATCAACCGATTGAGCAAAATGAACGGCGCTAGTTTTGCAGTAACGCGCCATCCGACAAGGTGGTGGTTAGCTGCTGCCGCCGGGATGACCAGCTGTCATCAGCAGTGGCGGCAGAGGCGCGCGGAGTGCCTCCCCGTCCCCGTCTTGATGATCCGCCGCCGGCATCCTCCTGATCGCCGTCTCTATCCCTACTAACAACCCTCCAGGGCTGCGACGCCACGTGCTCTAGCGCCTGCGTGACGTCGGTCATGGTGGGGCGGAGGTTGGGCTTGTCGTGCAGGCAGAGTGAGGCGATGACGGCCACCTGGTAGAGTCCGCGGCGAGGGTACCGCCCCTGCATCGCCGGGTCCGCCAGCGCCTCCAGGCACCTGCCCCTGCCTCGCCCCTACAGCTGCTGCAGGTGGGGACGTGCCCACACCAGCAGCCGTCGCTCCTGCTCCTGCTGTCGTTCCTCGTCCTCCTTTGACTCATCCCTAGTAGCGGTAGCGTTAGTGTGGGCGTCGAAGGCCCTTTGCCCCGTGAGCAGCTCCAGCAGCAGGATGCCGAAGCTGTAGACGTCGGACTTGACGCTGAGCTTCCCCGTGACGGCGTAGTCCGGTGCGCAGTAACCGTAGGTGCCCATGACGCGCGTGGACGCGTGGGTGTCGTCGCCCTCGAGGCCCAGCCTGGCGAGCCCAAAGTCCGATAGCTTGGGGCTCAGGTCGTTGCCCAGCAGGATGTTGGACGACTTGAGGTCGCGGTAGATCACCGGCGGCATCACCACCTCGTGGAGGTAGCGGAGGCTGTGGGCGGCGCCAACGGTGACCTTCACGCGGGCGTCCCAGGCAAGGGACTTGGAGACAAAGAGGTGTGCGTCCAGGCTGCCCTGCGGGAGGAACTCGTAGACGAGGAGCCGCTCTTGGGCCTCGGTGCAGTAGCCCACTAGGGACACCAGGTTCGGGTGGCGCAGCATCATCAACATGCTGCACTCCACCAGGAACTCGCGGCTGCCCTGCGCGCCGCTGCGGCAAAGCTGCTTGACGGCCACCTCGAGCTCGAGGCCGTTGGCTGCCGCATCGTCCAACCGGCCCCTGTACACCTTGCCGAACCCGCCCTCGCCCACCAGGTTGGAGTCACGGAACCCGCCCGTGGCCGTTGACAGCTGCGCCAGCGTGAACTTGCGGGTGGTCGTGGTGGTGGTGCCGGCGCCGCTGACGACGCTGCCGCCCGCGGCCGCCACGCTGCCGCTGCAGCGCAGGTGGATGGAGCTCTAGGTCTGGGCGGCGTAGCTGGAGGGGCTGCAGTAGGGGGACGACGGATCCACGTCGCGGTGGTAGCAGAGACGCAGGCGGGGGCTCCAAGAGATCAAGCAGTTCATCATGGCTAATTGGCCAGGCTAGCTCCGGCGGCCTCCGACAGAGCAGCTGACCATCCATCCATCGATCGATCCAACTGGTGGTCTGCCAAGGCAAGGCAATGCAATGCAAAGAACGTGCAGGGGATCGGAGGAGGTGAAGGACCACCGACCAACAGGGAGGGAGGGACCGGCAATGTGGTCGTCTCTAGAACCGCCGATCACGTGTCTGCATGCTAAAAATGGGGAGCCACCGCATGCCGCGGTTGCCAGCCGTGACACCGATAAACCTGTAGCCTGAAAACTAATGGACTTCCAAATTGTGATAAAAGCAGCCGCCTCCGTAACATAGTGGTAGTGCGTTCGCTTCGTAAGCGAAAGGTCGCGACTTCCATCCTCGCCGGGGGCTCGGTCATTATTTTTTTTGTGTATTTCTTCATTTTTTTCTAAAAAAGGATGATTGTTTTTTTTAGACTAAAAAAAAGGATAATTGGTTGAGCCGGTGATCAAGGCTCGTTATGGATTTCCTCTACCACGTTCAGTACTTCAGTTTGTGGAGATCAAGTCAATTTTGCGCCAATGTTGAAAATAGTTGGCTATAGTGGCTAAGTATATGAAGCAATATTGAAAAGAGAAAATTTCTTTTTTGATCCCGATTGAAATTTGCCTTTCTTCATTAGCCCTCAAACAAATTTTGAGGCCAAATAGCGGCCGGAGTTTCTTCCTTTTTTGCACTATGGTCGTCATCGGTCTTATATCAGGCAATAGCGGCGTAGACAATTTAGTGTGCTATCGACGCTTGATTCCACGTATTCTATCAAGTTAAGATTTAGGCAACCGACATTTGATTGTCTGGTTAGTGTTTTTAATTATGTGATGTGATTGCCCGGTTGGTGTTTGATTATGTCTTAGGCTGCCGGACAAGTACTTGTGATATGTATACCTTATCTTCCACCTGCTTACCTCTTATGTTATGTGACCAATCACTTGGTTTTTTTGTTGCATTATTAATGGTTGTTTTAGCATGTAAATTGCATGTATTTTTCTCAAAACACTAAATAGCTTAGCAACCGCTATAGCTGCAATAGCGGTTTGACCAAGTCATACCTAAATAGGGGCGAATTTGCACCAAACACTAGGGGGCTCCAGCCCAAAATAAAAACGGACTATAACTACTATTTTATCTCTTTAAACAATATGTGCAAACTCTGGCCTAGAAGGTCTAGCCCAACCCGGTCAGACACTCTAAGCGTGTGTTTGGATAGAGGGGCCAAGTGGGTTGGAGCAGGTTCAACCCAGATTTGGAGGTGTTTGGATGGAAGGTTCCCAAACCCAGGTCGAACCCATTAGCGAATATTCGCTCTAGATGCAGGTTGCTCCCATTCCATCGAAACAAGCGGACGGGGTTGACCCAGTTTGCGTTCTCTCGCGTGCGACGCAGCCC